ATGCAGTAAAACATTTCTGCAACTAAACAGCCACTTTGATAACCACACACACACACACAAACATGAATTTCTCTTTCTCACTTTAGGTCTTCCAGAACATGCGGTCATCCTTGATGTGAAAACAAGGTGGAATAGCTTATTCCTCATGGTGGAGCGATTCCTGGAGCAGTTCCCTGCCATCCAGGCCACCTCCATGGACCATCGTCTTAAGAAATTAATGGACAAGGACAGGCAAAAACAGTTCTTATTCTAAATGCTTATTCCATTTTCATTGTGAACGATTTTGCTCATGAATCTATAGTCCAGCTAATGAATGTGATTATATTTTACAGACTGCAGAGAGTTTCTGATGAGGATTTTAGAAAAGCAGAAGAGTTTGTCAAAGTTACAAAGATACTTTACACTTCAACCCTCTGCGTCTCTGCTGAAAGGAGCCCAACTTTGGGTCAGATTCTGCCTATCTTAAATAAACTCCAGCAGAACAGGTGTTAATTCATATTGGTAATCTTCTACTCCTCTTGAATTGTAGATCAATATGTGTGACCTATTTTTGTTATTGAAAATAGACTCCGACTGAGCAGATAGAACAGGCACTTGAAGAGAGAGCAGGTAACCAAGATGACAGCTCTGATGAAGACAGTGCATCTGCAACAACAGCACTGGTAAGAAAATATAAAGAAGTCCTATTTTTTCCTATTTATTTTTTTAAATTTAGAAGAAAATTAACTTGTTTGCATTTATCTTTATAGAGTTTTATATTTTTCTTAATTTCTTTACTTATTTGTAAATAGAAGAGGCCAGAGCTTTCTGCCCTTGAGGAGCTGTTTGCTGTGGAGGACATGGCTGTTGAAGAATGCAGACCACTGTCAGCAGCACTACAGAGAGGATTCAGGCAGAGATAAATAAGTACAGACTGCTTCCATCTACACTGTCCTCAGTAAGTCCAGTAACCTGGTGGTGGGATATGAAGGACACTCTGCCAATGCTTTCAGAATTGGCATCAAGGTATCTTTGCATGCAAGCATCATCCACACCCTCAGAGCGTACATTTTCCACTGCTGGGGACATTATCAGCCAGGAGCGGGCTTGTCTGTCTCCTGAAAAAGCAGACATGCTAATTTTTCTGAAGAAGAACTGTTGAGTGATTTCAGGTGATCTTAAAAGGTTAGTTCACCAAAAAAATGAATATTCTGTCATTAATTACTCACCCTAATGTTGTTCCAAACCCATAAGACCTTTGTTTATCTTCAGAACACAAATGACGATAATTTGGATTTAATCCAAGAGCTTTCTGATCCTCCCATATATTTACTGGATATGCAGTTTTCAATGCCCAGAAAGGAACCAAAAACATAGTCAAAATAAGTCCATGTGATATAAGTGGTTCAATCATAATTATATGAAGCTGCGAGAATACTTCTGTGCGCAAAATAAACAAAAATAACTTTATTCAATGATTTATCTATGGGAGGATCAGAAAGTTCTTGGATTAAATCCAAAATATCTTCATTTGTAGATAATTAATGACAGAATTTTAATTAAAGGGGGAACTAAACCTTTAAGCAGCAGTGAGCCTCACAAATACTTAAAATTGATTGACTTAAAATGGCTTGAACTTTATTAAAACGGTTTGCACTGATATTTTGTGCTTTTGTTCCTTTGTTTATTGGTCTTAGAGATAAGCCTGCTGTGAAAAGTGTCACAAACATCCTGAAAAAATAAAACCAAAGTTTGTCTGAGATTATGTGTTATGTAATCTTGTTAAAATATATTTCTTAAAATAAAAGTATCGAAAAAACTATCGTTCGGAACCGGTATCGAATTCAGGGTATCGAAACCCAGTCCTAGTCCCTGTGACCACAATTGCTAATATTATTAAAAATTGTAACCTCCTGAGACCCCACCCATTCATTTATGTCCATTGCAGTGGACATGTTGTTTTTGCATCTATCTTTTCACTGATGTAAGGTTGTACACTAAAGAGGACATGCTGTGAAATTAAAAATAAAAATAAATTTGAAAAAATCTAAATTGTAAGATGTCTTATTTCCTCCAAAGACAAATAATCTATAATTGAAGGACATTTTTTTCCTTGGGTCTCAGGAGGATATAGTTCATGGGACTGCCGCCAACCTCCCAGGATTTGGCACAAGAAGAAATGCAACCCCAGGTTGATCAGAAGGATAGTGCGGATGGTAGAAAAAACCACCAAAAACCATTCAAGCTGAGCGTCAAGGTCAAGGTATTTCACTTTCTGATTGCACCATCCATCGCATTTTGAACAATAATAGGCTCCATGGAAGAATACCCAGGAGGGCTCCACTATTGAAAAACAATAGTTAGTCTGGGAATGACCTATTTCCCAGAGTTTCTGGGAGAATGTCCTTTGGACTGATGAGACAATCACCAATCACATCAACTGTGTGTTTACAGAAGGAAAAATTAAGCTTTAAAAGAAAAGAACACAATACCTACTGTGAAACATGGAAGGGGCACAGTTTTGTTTTGGGGCTGCTTTGCTGCATCTGGCATGGGGAAACTTGAATCTGTGCAGGGCACAATGAAATCTCAAGACTACCAAGGCATCCTGGAACAAAAAATACTGGCCATTGTCAGAATGCTCAGTCGCAGGTCATGGGTCCTACAACAGGATAATGAGCCAAATCACAGCTACAAACACTCAAGAATGTCTGAGAAAAAAATATTGGACTATTCTTAAATGGTCCTCAATGAGCCCAGATCTTAATCCTATTGAACATCTATAGAAAGATCTGAAAATTGCAGTGTGGAGACACCACCTGTCAGCATTCGCGGGGAGGGCGAGCAGGAAAGCAGGTCAGCGAAGCCAGAACTTCGGGTAAACTGGATTTATTAACCAAAGACGGACAAGCACGGACAACACACTGACACTACAATGACGGATCTGGGGAAGACGGACTGAGACTCGGACTAAATACAAAAGACTAGGCAAACGGAACAGGCAACAGGTGAGAATAATCAGGGAATCACACGAGGTAACGAGGTGGGCGTGGCACACATCGGGATCGAACGGAGCGGATCGTGACACCACCCTCCAAATCTGAGACAGCTTGAGCAGTTTGGTCAGGAAGAGTGAGCCAAACTACCTGGTGGAAGATGCAGATGTATCATTCTAAAGTACAGAGATCGCTTGTTGGCAGTGATTGCTGCAAAAGGTGGTGCCACAAAATAATAAATTAAGGGTACCATCTTTTTTTTGTTCGTGCCATTTTCATTTTCATAAACAAATGTTTAATTAGCTAAAATATTCAACAGTATCAATAATCAAAAGCAAAATTTGATTTGTGTTCAATATAGAATAAACAATAAGGCATGCCATTACACTTTTGTCACCTTCAAGTTATTTCAGAGATAGTTGTGTTGTTCTGTTTTTTTGTGAAAGGGTAACTCTATATAGGGACAGAATATACCCAACAAAACTGGAAGCACATGGAAGTCATATTTTTACAATTTTTGACCAGAACATATAAAAGTACTTGAGTATATTTCAGATGGGAGATCAATGCCACATGTACATTTCCTAGCACAAAGAATGTAAGCCAAGGGCATGGTCATCACTGCAAACACATATCCAAACACTAAAAGTTACATAAAACCATTTTCTATACAGCATTAACAGCTTTTAAACCTCACAGTAGACATAAAATGGAGCAGATTAAGAAATATTGAACAACCAGAATGGAAAGAGCCAAGTGAGAATATAATCAGGTAGTGCCCTTTCTTTCATCTCTCCACTTCTCACTGCCTGGACAGATGTCATTTGAGGAAGCACTTCTTTACACAGCGTGTAGTTAGAGTATGGAATAG